CCCCAAAACCCCAAAACCCCAAAACCCCTATACTCAAAATTCTCTATATGTGTAGTGATTAGTTAATAAATTAAATAAAATTTGTCTCAACTTATTTTTTCTCTATAAAATGCACACATATAAAATTAGAATCTCCTAGATTTTCAATTATTCTCAGTTAAAGCAGTTTATCTATCGGCTGAACAATTATCTTTATCAGTTCTTTTAGTGTTAAAATAGAGCCTTGCCTTCAAATTTTTACTAGGAGATGTTACAATAAATTTAGAGACCTTGTCATTTCTATTATTACCCTTATCTTAGAATGAGCTAACCCAATTACCTTGTGCTGCATGATTAGAAATTGAATTTTCACTTATTAATTATGATTTTTCATGATTATTTAGTTTACTATTTTCAAATGCACTTGTATCATTCTTTGAGATTGGATTAACGTTTCTTTTTGCGAAAGTTATTGTCTCAAGGTTCTTTTCAGACCTAGAGCTTCTCATTAGATTTTTATGCTTTTCAATTTGCTCACTAACTTTGCTTGGATTTGGTACATGCTTTCCAATAGATTTATTTGTTTATTCTCTAGTTCTTGATGTCAAAGAGCCCAATCTCTATTCATTTTTTAATTAAACTGGAGTATCACTCGTCCTCTTGTTGCTTTGGTCTCTATTTGAAGTTAATCTATGGTTTGATCTGTTTAGAGTGTTCTCCATAATATTAATACCCTTACTTTTCTCTCTTACCGCTTACTTGTTTTACTCAATAAATCTGCTAGCTAGATTTTATCGAGAATGATTATGAACAGGCTGAGAGGAAGGCTAGGGCTATTAAGGTTAGCTTTTTTAAACGCTTACTAATTCTTATTTTTAGGATTATAGTTCTCTGCTAGTTTTAGTTTGTGCAAAGGATTATGTAGAATTTTGGGGAATTTATTTTTTTTACACAGTTTAAAAATTTGACTTATTGTTTTCAACTGACTACCTATTCTTTTGCATAACTGATTAGTGATTTAATTACGATAGTACAGCCTGCTCTTATCTTTGAGCCATTTTCTATTGGATTAAGTTCCTGTTTCTTCCAATTGGATTTTAGGCATTTTAGTTTTAGTATATGTTGGTATTTTAAACGGTAGACTTCGGATTTTGAACCCTTACTGGTTATTATTTATATCTATCAGTAGTTATATTATTAGGCTGTTATTTTTAAGTTGCTACTTGATTAATAACTGCACTTGCTTGCTCAAGACTGTTATAAAATTTGGGTTCAAGTATAGATTTCTTTGCATCATATATACCATGGATTGTAAATTTCTAATGACGACCACCTTCAATCTTAATGGTCTAGTTCTTACTGCTTACTTCTGAATCACCTTTGGGCTGGTTTTGATCTTCTGATATATCAATTGTATGGGATGATTCATTACATTTGCTAGATGTGTCACATCCTTTATGAATGCCATTTGAGTCATTTGTACTTGAAACCTCCTCCAACTAAGGAGTCTAAATCACTAGATTTATTTGGGTATCTGAAGTTTTATCTCCACCAAAGATCAAATTCTTTGTTCTTTATTATTGAGGTTTTAGCATTTTGCCTAACTCAGCTGTACTTTTAGAGTTAGTGCTCTTTCTATATCCTGAGCCGCAAGATTTTTTCTCTACAGATTAATTAGGTCCTCCTTTAACTCTTTTTTCCTCAATACCTTCATTTGACTAAATCGAGAATGAAAATTAAAGCTCTTTATTACTGTTGCTTGGATCAAGATTCCTGTCATTAATCTATCTTGGCATATTAAGATGTGGCTTGGAGGAGCTCTTTAGCATATAGCAGTTTTATTAGAATCTATTCATAATATATTCGTGATAACTACTGTCAATGTTATTTGAAGTTGTTGATCCTGAAACATTCATCTTATTTTGATTTTGTAAGGAAAGTATATTGCTTTAGTAATTTGCTAATGATTATGGCATATCAGCGTTTAAGCTTTAACGCTATTTCTTTCGCTAGAATTCTTCAAGCAAGAGTTTCTCTATATCTTTCACCCTGGCTAGACTAGTTCTAACATCCTCTATATTTTGTCTAATTTGATCAGGATCTATTTCAGAATGTTCTGTCTGAACTGGTACAAACTCTCCCCCTAAGGAAAACTCTTTCTTGTGGTTACTCTCGTTGATACTCTCATTCTTGAAAGTAATGCTAAAGTATTATTTAAGATTTTATTCGTCAGTCCTACTATTAACTGAATTAATTTAATCATTAGTATTGTTGCTCATCATATCCTTAATTTTGCCCATTTTTAACGAATAGATAGAGGACCTCTCCACTGATTGGTCATTACTTGGACTTCTATCTCTGGACCTTCGATTTGGGTCTAATTCTTTAGGAGGTGTGTTTTTCTGTGTGTTAGACAATGACTAGGAATTGTTTTGCCTTTCATTATTTATATCAACTTAAGAAGGGTTTTTGCTCATGAATTTAGTTGGTGTAGCGTTATTTGAGTCTTATTTTAACCTTATCAATTCATTTTGAACCATCATTCTGTGATAATTCAAATCCTCAATTTGTTGCATTAGCTATTGCTCTTGACGCATTAAAGCCTCTTCTCTCATACGTTTAATACTTGATTACCACTGATGGCTATCAAAGGTATGATAATCTTGCATTTAATTGTCTGAAGTTTCACCTGGCGAGGACTGGCAATCATAATTATCATGTTCAATAGCAGAAGCATGAGATATATCAAATACCTATTTTGATTCAGGTGTGAAAATAATAGAAGCTGTTTGAGAACTATCCTGTTAAGTGTTCTATTACTACTGCATTTACAATTAAATTTTATTGCAAAATACTTTTATTAACAGTATTTTCCCAGCATATTTATATATATTTTTCAATTAAATGATAACAATTACCATAAGTAGCAAATTTAGAATCTTGGGGTTTTGGGGTTTTGGGGTTTTGGGG